AGCTATGGAGAAAACGAAGAACTTTATACTAAAACAGGGTACAGGGCACTATTTTATTTACTCAAAAGTAAAGCAGAATATAAAAAATCTGAGAATTATGATGACTGACAACCTGACATTTAGTGAACATAACCAAACAAATATGTACCCCTGAACAGCGGCGACCAGGAAAATGATACATACCTGGAGCATACCTGGAGAGGGTTCTGGGTGTTGTTCTACTCCCCGAACCCGGCCTGTTGCTTGGCACAGTCCACAGGCTCACATATCCACTATAGCCTGGTTGATAGCCCGGCACTTCTTGCAATAACTTGTCCAAGTGCCTCTTTAAAACATCCACCTTCATTTCAGCCATATTTCTAATGCTAGTTGGGAGGGTGCTGAACAACTATGAACAGCTCTGATGTTCAGACACCTTTCTCGGATTGTGCCTATGGCACCTCTACTCCTAACTGGTTCTATTTTGCATTTTCTTCCATATCTTTGTCCAGTATGTTGTTATTCTACTGTGCAAATTTGGGACCTGACCCTCCAGTATCTTCCATGTACAGGATATATTTATTATTTGATACCTTTCTTGTCTCCTTTCCAGAGAGTACATTTTGAGAGCTTTGATATGGTCCCAAGAATTTAGATGTTTTATCGTTCCTATGCGTGCCGTATATGTTCTCTGTATTCCCTCTAATTCAGATATCTCTCCAGCTCTGAAAGGGAAGGCGAGTACCGAGCAATACTCGGTACTTGTTAAATAATACTCAATGTTCAGCTTATGAGAACATTCGAATCCAAAGATACCACAGCAATGTTGTGACATGTCTTGTACTATTTAAATCACTGGTGCTGTCCTGTCTGGAGTATTGATCAGTGTTCACTTCCCCTTTCAGAGCAGGAGAGATCTCTGAATTAGAGGGACTACAGAGAACCTATACAGCACACAAACGATAAAACATTAAATTATTGGGACCATCTTAAAGCTCTCAAAATGTTCTCTCTGGAAAGGAGATGAGAAAAGTATCAAATAATATATACAGTACATGGAAGATGCTTGAAGACCAGGTCCCATATATGCACAGTAGAATAACAACATACTGGAGCGAAAGATACGGAAGGAAATGCAGAACAGAACCAGTGAGTAGTAGAGGTGCCATAGCACAATCAGGAATCTTGGACTGCTGATGTTTATGTCTGAACATCAGGGGTCCACAGCTGTTCAATACCCTCCCAGCAAGCATGAGAAATATTGCCAGAACAAAGGTGGAAGTCTTCAAGTAACATTTAGATAAGTTCCTGCAAGAAGTGGCAGACAAGGTAACAAACCCAGTTGTAGTGGATATATGGGCCTGCATGTTGCTCCAAGCAACAGCCTGTTGGACCAGGTTATCACAAGTCAAGCCTGACCCCAGGCTCGTGAAGTAGCACTCCCAAAACCCCTTTTCTGATATGCTCCAGGGAAGCAGGAAAGGGTAGGAGAGAGAAGATGCCTGGTACAGAGGAGGCAGAGGTGCAGGAGCCAAGGAGGAACGAAAGGCCAGGAGGCAGTAAGAGGGGCAGGCACCAGGTCGGAAAGAGGGGGAGCCAGAAGGAAGGGGGGGTCAAGAGGCCAGAGCAGGGAAGTCAAGAGGGGTGAGAAGCCTGAGCATAGGGATATGGTGGGGTTGGAGGCCAGCCATAGCAGGGAGTCGAGAGGGGCGGAAGACAGAAGCAAGGTTCAAGTGAGGTTGGAGGCCAAAGCAGGGGTCGAAAGGGGTAGGAGGCTGAAGCCGGAGTCAAAGGGGTAGAAGGCCGAAGCAAGAGGGGGAGGGAACGATCAAAACTAAAATATTACGCATGTGACTAAACATAGACCTTGCCTAACTTAAAAACTGGAGAGGGTGGGTAGCTGGTACGGCAAGTTAGAAAACTGGAAACTTGTCCCAATACCTAGGCACAGTTTGCAATTTGTTTCAAATTCAATACCAAAGAAAACAAATTTAAATCATTAAAACATATTTAACATTCTTCAATCTCACAAAGTAGGCCAAGTTAATCCATATATGTACAGGGTACTTATATTTTCATAAACCTTTTTGTTTACTCACAAGCCTATACCATTAAGGCGCTATGTTAATAAAGCAACAAATATAACTTATGAAATCAATCCAACAATAAGAATTTTCATCAATAAAAAATAAATGTTAGCATTCATTGTTTACATTGATAGTATGGTATTGTTATCTTTGTCTAGGTGCTGGACACTTTGTACCCAAGACAGTTTGCAAATGCATTTTAAGACCTACATAACAAAACTCTACCCAATCCTACTGGGTCTGATCCTACACCACTGGAACTGATCCTACACCACTGGGCCTGGTCCTACACCACTGGGCCTGGTCCTGCACCACTGGGCCTGGTCCTGCACCACTGGGCCTGGTCCTGCACCACTGGGCCTGGTCCTGCACCACTGGGCCTGGTCCTGCACCACTGGGCCTGGTCCTGCACCACTGGGCCTGGTCCTGCACCACTGGGCCTGGTCCTGCACCACTGGACCTGGTCCTGCACCACTGGGCCTGGTCCTGCACCACTGGGCCTGGTCCTGCACCACTGGGCCTGGTCCTGCACCACTGGGCCTGGTCCTGCACCACTGGGCCTGGTCCTGCACCACTGGGCCTGGTCCTGCACCACTGGGCCTGGTCCTACACCACTGGACCTGATCCTACACCACTGGACCTGATCCTACACCACTGGAACTTATCCTACACCACTGGGCCTAGTCCTACACCACTGGAACTGATCCTACACCACTGGAACTGATCCTACACCACTGGAACTGATCCTACACCACTGGAACTGATCCTACACCACTGGAACTGATCCTACACCACTGGAACTGATCCTACACCACTGGAACTGATCCTACACCACTGGAACTGATCCTACACCACTGGAACTGATCCTACACCACTGGAACTGATCCTACACCACTGGAACTGGGCCTGGCTACACCACTGGAACTGGGCCTGGCTACACCACTGGGCCTCATCCATAACTTAAGACAAATGCCCAATAAATAAGAACATAAGAACAAAGGTCAATGCAGAAGGCCCATTGACCCATACGAGGCAGCTCCCCAACCTCCCTCCCACTCATATACTTGTCCAACCCGTGCTTGAAACAATTGAGGGATCCCACTTGGGCTTGGGCTGCTGTCTTAAACAATATTATTCAGTACTCGGCTAATTTGCATAATCCGAGATCATTATATATCTAATGTTAAACTTTTATTTAATTTTGTTACTACTTTGTACTGCATATGTATCCTGCCAGTGGTGGTGGAAAACATTTGAGGCACATAATAGGCTCGGAAACCAAACAAAATTTCATTCAATGGCTAAGGAAGTTACAGCCTTGATGAGCTAAATAGTTTGTTAACATGTTCAGTATATACATACATCAACAGTCCATTCAGGTTATAAAGTTAAGATAACAATACACACTATATATTTCTAATGAATCAAGTCTTGAGAAAATCGACCAATAATGGACATCGATAACAGTGTGGGTCACAGATGTATACTTTTAGTTTATAGCATAAGCCAGCAATTATTACAGGCACACAACTTTTGGTCTTGCTACAGTAGGCCTATCCAGGCAGGATAGCCTGGAAAATTGCTCATTCATTGAGAAAAAACAAAAATCCCACACTTAAAATTAGAGGCCTAATTAACGAGTGTTAGTATAGTTATCATTGTGAGGTAAAGGTGTTACAGGGAGAAGAGGAGGGTGATGAGGGGTGAGGTTAGCAAGAAGGGTGGAGGAGGGGTGTGAGTGAGGTTAACAAGGCCAGAATGAGACCCCTGGAGGGTGTGAGGTCCTTTGTGAGGACGTGTGAGGTTAACAAGGCCAGAATGAGATCTCTGGAGGTGGTGAGGTCCTTTGTGAGGACGTGTGAGGTTAACAAGGCCAGAATGAGACCCCTGGAGGGTGTAAGGTCCTTTGTGAGGACGTGTGAGGTTAACAAGGAGGCCAGAATGAGATCTCTGGAGGTGGTGAGGTCCTTTATGAGGACGTGAGAGGTTAACAAGGCCAGAATGAGACCCCTGGAGGCTGTGAGGTCCTTTGTGAGGACGTGTGAGGTTAACAAGGAGGCCAGAATGAGATCTCTGGAGGTGGTGAGGTCCTTTGTGAGGACGTGTGAGGTTAACAAGGCCAGAATGAGACCCCTGGAGGGTGTGAGGTCCTTTGTGAGGACGTGTGAGGTTAACAAGGCCAGAATGAGACCCCTGGAGGCTGTGAGGTCCTTTGTGAGGACGTGTGAGGTTAACAAGGCCAGAATGAGATCCCTGGAGGCTGTGAGGTCCTTTGTGAGGACGTGAGAGGTTAACAAGGCCAGAATGAGATCCCTGGAGGCTGTGAGGTCCTTTGTGAGGACGTGTGAGGTTAACAAGGCCAGAATGAGATCCCTGGAGGGTGTGAGGTCCTTTGTGAGGACGTGTGAGGTTAACAAGGCCAGAATGAGACCCCTGGAGGGTGTGAGGTCCTTTGTGAGGACGTGTGAGGTTAACAAGGCCAGAATGAGACCCCTGGAGGCTGTGAGGTCCTTTGTGAGGACGTGTGAGGTTAACAAGGCCAGAATGAGATCCCTGGAGGCTGTGAGGTCCTTTGTGAGGACGTGTGAGGTTAACAAGGCCAGAATGAGACCCCTGGAGGCTGTGAGGTCCTTTGTGAGGACGTGTGAGGTTAACAAGGCCAGAATGAGACCCCTGGAGGCTGTGAGGTCCTTTGTGAGGACGTGTGAGGTTAACAAGGCCAGAATAAGACCCATGGAGGGTGTGAGGACGTGTGAGGTTAACAAGGCCAGAATGAGACCCCTGGAGGCTGTGAGGTCCTTTGTAAGGACGTGAGAGGTTAACAAGGAGGCCAGAAGAACACTCCTGAAGGCCGTGAGGCCCTTTGTGAGGGAAACCACCCCTCCCCCCGTCCCCACCCCCCAACACTCACTCACTCACACACTCACTACTCACCCAAGTATATATCGCCGAAGGAGCCGCTGCCAATCTTGCGGCCGAGACGGTACTTGTTGCCGACCCTCAACTCCATCCTGCCAGAGAGCCAGAGAGAAAAAGAGACGAGAGATCAGGGGCTACGCAGACCAGCCATCTTGGAACCAACAATAACAACAGCTCCCCCCCAACCAACCAACCAACTTGACACACACAACACACACTCGCACTCAACACACACACACTCATCAACATTTTGCAGGTTATCGGCTTACCTGGCTGGCCAGCACCGTGGGTCTCCGCGCGCCAACTATGTCGAGTGGTGGCACTTTTATCTCATAGTGGTTGAGGGGGTCTGGAGGCAATGGTGGCGGAGGATTAGGTAGATATATCCGGGAGAATGGCGGCGGGGCCGAGCATATTCACCAGGGCCGGGTTGAACACTGGGCCAGCTGGGAGAGGGCAGCACGTCCCGCGCTCTCTCGCTCTCTCCCACTCACTCACTCACTCACTCACGCACACACGCACACATGTCTACACTTACTCACTCACTCCTTGTTGTTGTTGTGTATGTTACACACATACACACATGTGTGTATACTGACTCGGTGTTGTGTATGTTATACACGCACACACTTACTCATAGGTACACTTGGTTATACGCACACACATGCTCGCTCCTGCGCACGCACACACACACACACACACACACACACACACACACACACACACACACACACACGCACTCATGTGTACACTGACTCATTGTTGGATGTGTTACACGCATACACGCATACACACACACACTCATATGCACACTTGGTTATACGAGCACACACTCCTACACTCGCTCATACGTACACACACACACTAATACACTATACTCACCAACTAGGTGAGCACAGGGTGTATTAGTGATTTATTATTATTATTATTATTATTTTCTACCACAAACGTGGCCACACATTTACAATGCTAAGCAGAATATATACATTTTCATTTATTGTGTGTGTTCTTTGTTGGAGATGTGTGTGTGTGCGTGTGTGTGTGTGTGTGTGTGTGTTCAATTGTTTTCTTTTTTTGTGCACCCCATACCCATCCCGTGGGGAATGGTGTAAAGGGTAACAGAGGCACATAATGGGTTCAGGAACCGAACCCCATAGTTCGTTTAGCTAAGCAAGTGACAATCTTTTAAAGCTGGTTACACAATTGCTAATGTTACATACACATGTACATATATATACAATCATTTACACAAATATATATACACATCAATAATCTTTTTATATCACAAGTGATTCAACAAACGGCTCCCAACAGTCACTATACAAGGCACTTTACATCTATGATGAGTCACACAGTTACAGTTACTAGTCTTGCTCCACACCCACCCAACTGGGCGGCAGCTTTACAACCATGTGCAAGCTACACCTTCAGTAAGCACAGTGAAATTCACACCAGTTACTCCATCTATCATCATTCTATTATTCATCTTTAGATTATGCAGTTCAGTTTTGGTCGCCATATTATAGAATGGATATAAATTCACTTGAACGTGTCCAGCGTAGGATGACTAATTCCCCAAATTAGAAATCTTTCATATGAAGAAAGATTAACAAAGCTTAAGTTGCATTCACTGGAAAGGCGAAGAGTTAGGGGCGACATGATAGAGGTTTACAAGTGGATGAATAGACATAACAACGGAGATATTAATAGGGTATTAAAAGTATCAACACAAGACAGAACGCGAAACAATGGGTATAAATTGGATAAGTTTAGATTTAGGAAAGACTTGGGTAAATACTGGTTCGGTAACAGGGCTGTTGATTTGTGGAACCAATTACCACGAAACGTAGTGGAGGTGGGGTCCCTCGATTGTTTCAAGCGTGGGTTGGACATGTATATGAGTGGGATTGGGTGGTTATAGATAGGAGCTGCCACGTATGGGCCAATAGGCCTTCTGCAGTCACCGTTATTCTTATGTTCTTATCTCCTGGGAGCAGTAGATGCTTTTTCACCCACAGGGTTATTAAGCCATGGAACCGCCTACACACTGAAGCCGTAAATCCCAAAATGTTGTCTTGAATTTTAAAGTACAACTGGAGAAGATAAAGGCAAATGGACCTTCGACAAGCCGCAGGCTCCCTGTCCTCGTCGAGGCCACTAATGTTAGCGACTCTCAGGTAAATTTACATGATCGCACTAATGCACACACACACACACACACACACACACACACACACACACACACACACACACACACACACACACACACACACACATATATTATTCCAATTAGTTTATTTGAATTATTATTATTATTATTATTATTATTATAATATAATATTAAGACCATAATTTATTGACTTAGTTGTGTTAGTTTAGGTTAGGTTAGGTTAAGATAGGTTAGGTTAGGTAGGGTTGGTTAGGTTCGGTCATATATCTTCGTTAGTTTTAACTTAAATTTAAACAAATTAACTTATACATAATGAAATGGACAGATTTATCATTTCATAAGAAAACAATTAGAAAAATATATAAATTCATGAAAACTTGGCTTATTAGGCAAATCGGGCCTTGCATAGTAGGCCGAGAAATGCGTATATATATATATATATATATATATATATATATATATATATATATATATATATATATATATATATATATATATACGCAGCTCTATCCTACAGGCACAAATAGTAAACACACACACACACACACACCATGGCTAGAGATCTGCCATGAGGATGATAAACTAATGATCACAAATGCATATAGTCCACCGCTAAGCAGCACATGGTCAAAGGAGGAGCTAGATAGTAAACGAGAAGGTCTTATAACAATAATGAGACAGATCATAGCGAGAGCGGATAACGATAGTTCACGACTGTTGATAGTCGGCGACTTCAACTTGAAATCCATAGACTGGGAAGCATGTGAAGCTAAAACAGAAGATTTTTGGACCTGTAAATTTGTAGACCTCATCCTGGAAACATTCTTGTATCAACATGTTAAACAAGCTACGAGGATGAGGGAAGGGGACGTTCCCTCCATGCTAGATTTGATATTTACCAGGAAGGAGGAAGAAATATTTGACATTCAGTACCTTCCTCCCTTGGGTAAAAGTGACCATGTCTTTTTGGGAATAAAGTATGCAATGCGTTATAATCTGGAAGAGAATATGACGGTCGATGCAAATGAAAAACCTGACTTTAGGAGAGGACATTATGGCAACTTTAGAAAAATTTTTAGTGAGTATAATTGGACAGACTTGATGCTAGGCAAGGAAGTGAATGAGATGTATGTCAGGTTTTGTGAAATATATGATAAAGGCACAAAAAAATTTATATCAAAACAGAGATGCAGAACTAGGAAACAGGATTGGTTCAACAGAAAGTGCGAGAGGCCAGAGACCAAAAGACACAAAAATGGAATCAATACAGGAAGAGGCCGAACCCCCAAACATACCAGCGATACAAAGATGCGAGAAACAACTACACGGCAGTGAGGAGAGAGGCAGAAAGAAATTTTGAAAAAGGGATTGCAGACAAATGTAAAACAGAACCAGGTCTATTCTATAAATTCATAAACAACAAATTGCAGGTAAAGGATAATATTCAGAGGTTGAAAATGGGAAATAGATTCACGGAAAATGAAAAGGAAATGTGTGAAACATTAAACGAAAAGTTCCAAAGTGTGTTTGTACAAAATGAAATCTTCAGGGAACCAGACACAATAAGAATTCCAGAGAACAACATAGAGCACATAGAGGTGTCTAGAGACGAAGTGGAAAAAATGCTCAAGGAGCTAAATAAGAACAAAGCAGTTGGTCCAGATGGAGTTTCACCATGGGTTCTGAGAGAATGTGCACCTGAGCTCAGCATTCCTCTTCAACTGATTTTTCAGGCATCCCTGTGTACAGGAGTTGTAGCTGATGTGTGGAAAAAGGCTAACATAGTTCCAATCTACAAAAGTGGAAGCAGGGAAGACCCCCTTAATTATAGACCGGTATCATTGACAAGTGTAATAGTCAAAATATTGGAAAAAATAATTAAAACTAAATGGGTAGAACACCTGGAGAGAAATGATATAATATCAGACAGACAGTATGGTTTTCGATCTGGAAGATCCTGTGTATCGAATTTACTCAGTTTCTATGATCGAGCAACAGAGATATTACAGGAAAGAGATGGTTGGGCTGACTGCATCTATCTGGACCTAAAAAAGGCTTTCGACAGAGTTCCACATAAGAGGTTGTTCTGGAAACTGGAAAATATTGGAGGGGTGACAGGTACGCTTCTAACATGGATGAAAATTTTCTGACTGATAGAAAAATGAGGGCAGTAATCAGAGGCAATGTATCGGACTGGAGAAATGTCACAAGTGGAGTACCACAGGGTTCAGTTCTTGCACCAGTGATGTTTATTGTCTACATAAATGATCTACCAGTTGGTATACAGAATTACATGAACATGTTTGCTGATGATGCTAAGATAATAGGGAAGATAAGAAACTTAGATGATTGTCATGCCCTTCAAGAAGACCTGGACAAAATAAGTACATGGAGCGCCACGGCAAATGGAATTTAATGTTAATAAATGCCATGTTATGGAATGTGGAATAGGAGAACATAGACCCCACACAACCTATATATTATGTGAGAAATCTTTAAAGAATTCTGATAAAGAAAGAGATCTAGGGGTGGTTCTAGATTGAAAACTATCACCTGAGGACCACATAAAGAATATTTTTTTTTTTTGTTTTTTTTGAGATATATAGAAGAGTTGTTACATTCTTGTACAGCCACTAGTACGCGTAGCGTTTCGGGCAAGTCCTTAATCCTATGGTCCCTGGAATACGATCCCCTGCCGCGAAGAATCGTTTTTTCATCCAAGTACACATTTTACTGTTGCGTTAAACAGAGGCTACAGTTAAGGAATTGCGCCCAGTAAATCCTCCCCGGCCAGGATACGAACCCATGACATAGCGCTCACGGAACACCAGGCGAGTGTCTTACCACTACACCACGGAGACTGCGAGGAGCCAATATTGTGCGAGGAGCCTATGCCACGCTTTCTAACTTCAGAATTGCTTTTAAATACATGGATGGCGATATACTAAAGAAATTGTTCACGACTTTTGTGAGGCCAAAGCTAGAATATGCAGTGGTTGTGTGGTGCCCATATCTAAAGAAGCACATCAACAAACTGGAAAAGGTGCAAAGACATGCTACTAAGTGGCTCCCAGAACTGAAGGGCAAGAGCTATGAGGAGAGGTTAGAGGCATTAAATATGCCAAAACTAGAAGACAGAAGAAAAAGAGGTGATATGATCACTACATACAAAATTGTAACAGGAATTGATAAAATCGATAGGGAAGATTGCCTGGGACCTGGAACCTTAAGAACAAGAGGTCATAGTTTTAAACTAGCTAAACACAGATGCCGAAGAAATATAAGAAAATTCACTTTCGCAAACAGAGTGGTAGACGGTTGGAACAAGTTAGGTGAGAAG